GCGGCGGCGGCGGCGCGGGCCCATGGCTGCAGGCCGCGGCGAGGGCTCGATCCCGCTCCGCCCCCGGCCGCCGCTGCCTGCAAAGTCCCGGCCACTTTTACGCGCCAAATCCTTTTTGCCGCGAAAGAGCCACGAGCCGCGGAGCGCTCCCATCATTGGCTGTCTGGACTGTGACGTGGGCGACGGCGACAGCACCCGTTGGCTGCAGCGCACCGGACCGGCGGCGGTGGGCGGGACGGGGCGTCGGCGCGAGGAGGCGCGGCCAATCGCGGAACCGGGCGCGCGCAGGCTTTGTCGGGGCGGTGCCAGGAGGTTTCGCACTCCCCGCCCCCAGCGGGGACTGTCCCTACCCCAGGCGTGGTGGCCAGGTTCCCGCCCCGACTCATCGCATCCTGCTGATCCCTGTGTGTGGAGACCTTTAGGACAGAGGGTCCGTTCTGCACTTCTCACCATACGCAGACCTCACGTGACCCCCAGATTCCTCCACCTGTAGCCCCAACAAGCTCGGTCTAGATAACTAGGTGCTGCTGTTCCGCGTTTCTAGCTTCTTAAGCCCATCTCCAAAGTCCCAGCTGCTGCTCCCATCCTCAACTTGCCCCACCTATATATTTACTTTCAAATCCTGCACCTGCCTTGTCCTTGTCAGCTTGAGCAGAAGGGGGCTGCTAGAAAATGGGGAGGGACATCTGGCTCAACACAGCTTGGGGCTTTCCTATAAGCCCCCTTTTAGCTGGAATCTTCAATAGCCAATGCACAGCTTCTTGAACTCATTCATTCACTCCTGTATTCAACAAACGTTGTGAGAGTCTGCTTTGTGCCTCATTCCTAGTTCAGACTTTGAACAGCTCAGTCTAGTGAAAAGAGGAGGAGAGGAACAGAGGTAACAAATGTTTACAACATGATGAGGAATTTCCACCATTAACTCCATGTTAGATCTCACAAAGGGAGGAAGTGAGGGTGCTGAGCATGAAAATGCATTTAATCCTGAGGCCCTGTGACCTCTCCATCAGCCATTTCTCTTTGCTCAGGTCAGCTGATTTAACCAATATTGTCCTCTTCTCTGTGCCAGGCCTTGTGCCAGCTCTGAGGGCAGAGATCTGAGACTTGATCGTTTCTATGAACTTGCCTGCCATCTGGTGGGGATGACCCACAGGGAAAAAAAAAACAAAAAAAACAACCAAGTAATACACAAACAAGGATCAAATCCTGAGGCCCAGAATAAACATGACTTCCTCCAGAGAGCCCTCCAGAGTCTTAGTTATTCACTGCCGCCATTGCCCAATGCTGCCTCTGTTCCAGCACGGACCACACACTCAATTTCTCCATCTGCCTCTCCTACCAAGACAGGGAGCTCCATTAGGGCCTCCTCCCAACACTGGTCGGCCCAGAGCAGATGCTGAGAAAGGTTAGGGAAGAAACAGCCTGATGCCTGAAGCTACCCAGCATACAACAAGGAGGCCCTGACTCTCCAGGAGTAGTCCTTAGGCACCAGGCTTCGGAATTACCTGGGCACTTGTTACCTTTGGGCCCACCCCAGCCTTGCCAATTTAGAGTCTCTTAAGTGCCCAGGAATCTACATTTTCACAAGGACTACCCTACCCACCCCACCCCTCAATTCCAGGTGATTTTTATGCAGGTTCACATTTGAGAACAAATAGTATACCTGTATAACCAAAATGTGTGGTGCAGACTCAAGTTCTAGCCCCTTGAGGACAATTCTCAGCTCCAGTTTCCTCATCTGTAAAATGGGCACTTTACCTTGGCCTCTCCCAGGCTTGCCATGAGGATAAGAAGCATAAGGGAGCTGAACGTGTTTTATAAACGATGAGGTGGTTTAGGTAAGCAGCAGGAGTTTCCTAAGCAGTTTTTGAAATTGCTCATTGTAAATCTTAGATTGTGTCAGCATTGGAAGGGACCATAGAGACTGCACAAGCCTCTTGCTGTAGAGATGGGAAAACTGAGGCCCATTCGGGAGTAGAGACCTGTGATGCCAGCCAGTGATAGAATCTGGCCTATGCTGGATTGCCAGCCATGGGATCATCCTGTTCCTTCTCCCCAGATAAGCCACCATTATTAGAATGGTAGGTCTCATTTGAAATAACCAAGCCAGACTCTGACAGAGGGTAAGAGAAATCAGCAACAGTCCCATTCCAGATGGGAGTTTCTTTTCTCCCTATCTTCCCAAAGGGTCTCAATAACAGCAACATTCTCTTTGTAAAGTCCTCTCATACCCAATAGTCACTCAACAAACAGTTATTGAGCACTTGTCATACACCAAGCACTGTACTGGTTGCTGGAGAAGGAAGACAGATGTTGTTATTGCCCCATTTCATGATGGACAAGCTGATGCCCTTTGGGCATGAGCTTACCTAGCAGATGAAAGGCTATCATTCATGCTTGGTGAGGTCAAAGCTAGAGGTTTACCAAAGCCCTGCTCTCCCCAAAGTATTCAAGTACCCAACCTCCCAGGTAGAATCAGGTGCCCTTCTTCCCACAATCCCTCCTGTCATGCTGCAGCAGAAAGGAGGGAAGACCAGAATTCCCAGTGTGAATTCAAGGAAGAGATAAGGTCCTTCTGGATCTATTAATACCCACTTGAAAGCAGCAAAGGCCTGAAAGATGGGCCCCTTGGCCTCAAGCCTGGGAGATACTGATAAGGCTGTTCTCAACATCAACAGTTCTCTTCTGGCTGGTAGGCTTCCAAAAAATCCACAATTACTGGGCAGCCACTTCCAGTGATGATATCCTTTCAACCAATAATCCCCTAAGTGAAGCTTATTTATCCACATGGTGCAGGAAGAAGGAGGCTCAGGGAGGGCCACTCGCAGCTCAAGGTCAGGGAGCAGAAATGAGATGAGAACTTAGCCTGTTCCACGGCAAAACCCTAGGGCCTGCACTTTATACCTCAAGACCTCCTATAAATACCCCGCGAGCCAGGCTCAGGTCTGTCAAGATTATAATGTGCGGTGTCCAAAAGGTATTATGATGGATAGTGGCCTAACTTAGTAGGCGCTCACCCCCATCATCACATCTCTACCAACATCTAACTCTAAAAGAGTCCAAAGGTGTGGAAGCTCCTGGGCCCATGATCCTCAGTGTGGAGACATCTTTCCTTTGGGTTTTTCCAAGAGGCAGGATTGTGCAGAAGTGATAGCATGAACTTCTAAATCAA